GGCTGGCACTCAAATGACGACAACCGTTCGCCAGCTTGCGGCCAAAGAGCGATGCCGTGGCGGGAATCGTTGAAAAGACGATGAAATGCCACACGCGCCGGACCTGACGTTCATGAAAAAACCAAGAACTGTGTGAGGCGCCAATTTTCTGGGGACACAGATGCCTAGCAAGAGCCTAGTGGTGAGGTTTTGCCGGTGCTGGCCCGGGTGGCGCTAAGCCGTAGTTAGTCACCCCAACGCAAGCTTCGATTTTTCGAAGATCCATCCTTTGTGACATCTCTCGGTTATGCGTCGTTAGATTTCGTGACGGCTTGGCTATTACCAGGGCAAGATGACAGTCAGGGCATTGCGTTCCGTCGCAACCGGCAAGGTATGAGCGAGCGACGTACTTGCGATCCTCTTTGTCCCCGTCTGACACCCGAACAGAATGGCGTCGGTGCATTCATCCTCCAATGCAAGAAGATGGATCTTCACTATTGCGATTGGGCCGGCAGCTCCAAAGGCATGAAGTGAGTCTTCCATTCATCTCTAACGGAGCTGTAAACATCTCGAAGAGCACGGCTTACGACATTTTTCAGTGGCTTTGTCAAGTCTCTACTCCCCAAGTTCGCTGCGGCGAACCCACAAATCGAGTTCGCCCTCTCACCCAGACCCGGCAAACACCCGGTTATCATCGGTCACTACATCAACGGACGCACCAAACCAATTTGCGTACGAAACCTGTCCCCATACGAGATTCTACAAAAAATCGAGCTGTTACGCGACGCCAGCGGCGACAAGCTCAAGAGGACGAACAAGGCAGTTACGAGTACCAATCCCAGTGTCAGAGGCATTTGGTCTCCGTACCACGGTAAGGGAATGGTTGTGTAGAAGCTCTTTACGGCTCATTATCTTTAAGAACTCATACGGTTCTTGTTATTCGATTGTGGCAGAAAAGTGAAAGACGTTGCCGGATTTGTGTTTATTGTAACATAGGAAGGGCACACATACATATTTGTTCCAGCATAGAGCGGCTGGGATATCTGGGACTTGAAAGATGTTATTGGGCATGTACCATACGAGGGCCTAAAAGGAAAGGTCTACGAGAAGAATCTGGTGTCATCTTTTACAAGGGACTGGCATAAAATCAAATCACACCTTTAAATCGCAAAATCGGGTATCCAATGCCTTGGCTGTTTTTTTAGCACTATATTTTCATGTCATGCTCGTAGGGTCCATGAGTCAGAGTTGAGTCGGAATGAAGGGATGTGATGTAGTTACTGCTTTTTGCAGTTGACGATGTCGATGACTGTCGCAGAAGTGTGTCAGCAGATACATGCTCGGTTCATCCGGTACTGCATTGGGGCATGGGAGAACAAAGACTTACAACCAGGCTTGAGGGAAGCGCCACCGACCAAGAAACCATCAATGTCGGGCTGCTTGCCGAGCTCTCCGCAGTTCTTCTCATTGACACTGCCGCCGTACAGGATTCGGGTCTCGTCGGCCACCTTGTCACTGACACTCTTGAGCCAGTTGCGAATGGCCTTGTGCACTTCTTGAGCCTGCTCGGTCGTAGCAACCTTGCCGGTTCCGATAGCCCAGATGGGCTCGTAAGCAATGACAATCTTGGACCAGTCGCTGATCTGGGCCTTAAGGGCCTCGAGCTGCTTGGTCACGACATCGACCGTCTTGCCGGCCTCGCGTTCCTCAAGGCTCTCACCGCAGCACCAGATTACACTGACGCCGTTCTCGGTGGCATACTTGGTCTTGGATGCGACAACTTCATCAGACTCCTTGAGAATGGTACGGCGTTCGGAGTGGCCTAGGATAACCCAATTGATGTTGCTGTCCTTGAGCTGGGAGACGGAGATTTCACCAGTGAAGGCACCATTTGGCTTGTCAAAGACGTTCTGGGCAGCAACTTCGATGCCGGAGCGGAGGGTGTCACGGACGAGCTGAAGATAGAGGGCGGGGGGAGAGACGACGACCTCTGATATCATTTAGTAGATGGATAGGATGTTGACGCAAGGATAATACGAACCGACGTCGGGGTCAAGGACGGCATTATTCAGATTGTTGACAATCTCCTTAATGGACGAGACAGACCCGTTCCTGATATGACTCGTCAGTCCTTGTTTTTCTCGAAATGCTGTCGAGCTGCGCTGTTTTTTGGCAGCTCCATCCCGGAACGCCTCGCGCGGGGCATGGAGGGGCAATCACAGCTTTCGTCTTGGCTCACTGATCTGGCCGCTAACACTCACATCTTGAAGTTGCCGCCGACAAAGAACTTGCGCGCCATCTTGTAAAATACTGCAAGAGCTATGGAATAAATTCGAGATGGGTATGTCAGAGCTGCCGTAAGTCTAGCTTTGGAAGGATTGAGGATGGGACAGTAGGGTTGCAGGCGAGGGACCAGTTCTGAGACTGCGTTGCAGGTCCCACACGTGAGTCCAGAAGTTGCGCACTAGTGTCCCAACAAAGGCAACGGCGAACCCACGGGACATCATTCACATTGGTACTCGGCAGCCTCAGCTCCAACGTGTTTCCGTCACACACTCAAGTACTTCTCTCTCTCTCATTCTTCTTTCGCGAAGAACAAACTAATCTACTCAAAAGATCGAATGACAGCACAAAACTAGGAGAAAAAGAAGACAGAGAAAGGCTCTACACTCGATTCCGCGGCCCGTGTTTTCAAAGGACTACCCGGTACCGGTGTTACGTACACACGCGACTTCAAGGCGGACCGTAAGGCGGGAACTTCCCATAAGAACCATCGCAGGCTTCGGTTCGGAAATAACCACCGTCCTGGCCCGTCAACTCGGTACCGTTTGGAGCCATAATCTTGACAGACATGGCAGTATTGCCTCCCTTGTCACCCCAGGCCACTCTCACGGGGTAGTACGTTCCTTTCTCTAGGTGCCTCACCGTCTGGGTTTCGTCACCAGGAGGAGGGATATACGTTCGCTCGATATCTGCGTTGGCTCGCGTCCAGCCGGTGTACGCGTTCTGTCCCAACCAGACAAGAGCAATGTCATCTGCCTGCCCGAACGTAAAGGTGTAGTTGCCCGTCTCAGGTGCCAAGAGAAATCCCTGGTGGATGACAGAAGCCAAGTTCGTGCTTACGGGCTGACCATAGAGGCTCTTGGGATTGTTGATGAGCAGGCTGTTGGTTCGTCCATCATGCTCCGGTTTCAGGCTCGTGAAGGAGGTAGGGTCATACTCTGCAAATGGCGGTGACTTGACGGTGCTCCACGATGGTGGCCCTCGCCATTGTGCCCATTCAAAACCAGGTTGTCCGCAGGTTGGTGGTTTTGGCTTGCACTCTCCATCTCCACAGAGCTGGTCAACGCCGCAATCGGAATCGATGGAGCAGGGGCTGCATTTCTGGTCCTTGCAAATCTGAGTGGTCTTGCAGTCCGAGTTCTTGGTGCATTCTGGAGGAGGATTCGTGGTCGGGACGCAGAGCCCCTGGACGCATTCAAGATTGCCGCTCCCACAATCTGCATTGGCTGTGCAAGCTTCGCATTTGTTGCTCTTGCATACTTGCCCGTTGCACTCAGTGTTATGTTGACAACCGCCAGGCGGCTTGTTGCAGTCCTCGCACCCGCTGCATTTGTCTTTGCACTGCATCTCAACCACAATATGAGCGATGTTGGCACATTCGCCAAGACTGTCGATATACTACTTCTTGTCAGACTGAGGCATCCACCAGAATCGCTCCTCCAGGAGGGTGGGATGCTCGGACAATACCTTTTTGAAGCCATCGCACAAGTCACCTTTCAGGTTTTTGTCATCAATAGGCGTTTCGCAGGACGCTGAACACAATTTCTGGGACATCTGTCAGTGTGGAAGCTCACTTGCAGAAGCGGTGGCGGCTCCTAACCTCAATATCTGACGACAGGCGGTCCATATCACAGTCGTTTCGCAGCGACTTGCATATTTTCCCCAGAACAAGAGTGTTTCGTGGGTACAGCGCAGATGCAAGTTGAAAGTCCTGAGCCATGACGCCATGGACCGTCAGGGCAACCAAAAGCTTGACTGATATTCCGTTCATGATGTCAGAAAGCTTTCAAAATGGCCAAGTGATTCTTCTCGTGAGGAGGGGTGCGTTGCTGCGGGTAATGTAAAACCGTGAATTTCGTGAGGGCCAACGCCTTGGTTTTTAAACCTTAACCTGTCGCAGCATGTGTAGCTCTAATGGTTTCCTTTTACAAAGCCACGTCATGGCCGAAACACATCGTGCATCGAGGATTGCTGAGCCGAAGTATGACAGCTGAAGGATGTCTGTTACGTGCTTGTGCATCGTTTGGAGAACATGGTCGAGGTTGCTTTCGGGTCCTTGAAACAGTATCACAACGTAGAATATTCTACGAGGGGGACGGTCAGTCAAGCTGGTCTATGATTGATCAAGATCTCGGCTGAGAGCCACAGGAAGAAAGCGATGTCGTACAAGATCCTGTACTCGCACCTGCATCGAGATCTACAGATGCAACAGCTTGATATCATGTCTTGGTACTTATTTTCTAGCCAGGCATGGCCTTGACCGTTATTTGCCTTTTGGTGTAAATTTTCGATTGTCTGGAGCCTACAAAAATGGATTAAGGTGTCGCAAGTCAAGGAAGAAGAAGAGAATAACCCGAAATATTGGATTGCTGAAACGAGTAAAACACGGTTTGAGAGTGCACAGGCGATACTTCGGGAACGTTCGATCCCTCACGATGAGAATGCAGATGATAGCTGAAATGAAACATCATTGACCGAATACGTGTGTTTCTCAAGCGACTGTTTCCCTTTCGTCTATCGGACCGAATTTAATTGGGAAAAAGCAGTTGCGCGTGGAGTGTTGTCTAAGAGAATTTGGGTGGACGACATGTGCATGCCTCGCGATATACCTACTCGGGTCGGTTTATGCGGCATGTAACCCGGCGTATTCAGCACCCAAGAAGAAACAAATAAAGTGCAGAGACGTGAGACTCCACCAAAAAAATCCTTCACGATGAAAAAGAATGCCAGTGATGCTTCGACCACGCCAGGAGTCGAACCTGGAATCTCTAGAGGGATCAGTTGTACTGGCTAACCGAAATCTAGCGCCTTAGCCATTAGGCCACGCGGCCGATGGATGGGTTTTCCTTAACAAGCTATATATAGGTATCCAAGCTTTGTGTGACGCGAAGGATGTTTACCGCAGGACTGATAAAGCCCAGCGCTCGCTGCCTCCATTTCGGCCTGTGCTCTGACCATGTCTTCCTTTCCCGAGGTTTTCGTCTAATACTCTCCAAAGCGCACCCCGTGAGACCCTGCGACATTTTCTATGGATTAAGCAAGACAATTCGAGACTATCCACTCCTACTTTGACATTTCTATGTATTGATTATTGTTGGTGTATGCATTGTTCAATCCTGCATGTGAATGACAAACCATCTCAAACTATCTGGATAATGAGATTCACGGATATTGTCGTGGATTCTGCTTCTGCAGAAAAAATAAAACGGAAATCATGTGCCGTCGTCGTCGCCACAAAGCGACCCCACGAAGTTAGGGGCGATAGGCATCCGACGTCCGAAAGGGCCAGCAGCTTTTGCTAGCTTTTGCCAGCTGTGAGCGATGGTAGCAGGTGTGGGCAGCTGCGCAAAGGCTAACCTCCGGCCCAGCACATTATATTGACTCCCACTTTACGTGATGAAAGTAGGGTTCTCTTCTTCACTCTCTGCGTTCTTCCGATCTCTGCCAATTTGTAATCCGTCGACTTTGCACGAGCCATTTGGAACGGAACCGCCCTACACGCATTGCCGAGAACTACCTCCTAAACAAGAATGTATTTGCATCTTCATATTCAAACAGTCGATGATTTTACTGACTACGGTAGCTGCTCCTGTGCGCCCTGAAAATGGCTTCCCCCCTGGCAGTCGACTCGTCATCTACGCCTCTTCGAAACCGTGAGGATCTTGCCAAGATCTGCCAAGGATTAAAGGAATGGATCTTTCAGGCGCCTCACTCTCCAAATAATGTCATCTCTTCAACAGCTGCGGGGGGCATTGCAACGGTGAAAAACGGTCTCAAATCGCCAGATCAGGGTAGCGATAGTGCCAGAAGACCTGACAGCTCAAACTCAGAAGCTAAAGATCTGGAAAAAATAAAGACATGCCTTCCAGAGCTGCATGAAGGATCCCAAAAAAAGCCTACTCAAGGCGCGCCAGAATCAACGAGGGTTGGCATCGAGCCTACCTCAATGCCCCTTCCAGAGTCAAAAGCTTCACAATTGTCGACCATCATAGACCCTGCTGAACATAGCCTTAAAAGCATCTCTGCTCCACTTTCCGCAGTCCTGAGCTCATCCTCAGGACCATCTCAGCGGCCTACTACCAGACCATTTGAGGTAATTCAAGCGGCGGTGCCTTGCCCCATTGCCATGAAAAGAACAGCTTGCCTGGGGTTTGAAGGCTGGAGCATCAGCAGTAATTGCTCATTAGATCACGGCAAGGAGATGGTTGCATTTGTTCCAAGTTTTGCCCACAACAGTGCTTCGGGGACCGCCTATTCGGTTACTCTGGATGAATCGTTTAATAGTTGCGACGGAGATGCAGTACACCACTCTCATGATCCGGTGGAGTCGTGGCTTATCAAACATCTAACGTCGCCATCATGGATCGTTAGTCCAGATGAAATTAGCGATCTAATCAACAGTCGTTGTGATATAGATCCTGAAAAGGGCAAGTTTCTTCCACCGATCCTTCAGCCTGAAACTTTCCGATGTGCTAGAGAGGACTCTTCCGAGGATCAACGTGACATTTTATGGCGACGAAACAATATGACGACAGAGCTGCACATCATGAAAGAGCTCAAAAGCCGCGAAAACATGGCCAAGACTTTGCAAATGTCTGCCTACCTCGAGGCTGATGGTCCTGATGTCTCGAGCAAATCCGATCATGCCTGGCCCAACGCAAATTGCCTTGTGCGCCCAGCAACTCAACAAGACTTCCCTGTTGTTGCGAACATAATCAATGAGAATAACAGGTGTCAGCCGAGATCACGAGCAAAGGAAGATCTTGTGATGCGTGCTGAGGATGTGGCCCGTGTTTGGGACGAGTGTCGAGCTGAAAACCGGCCGTTCATTGTCGTCACACCGGCTGAGGAAGATTTATTGGATCAGTCAAAATGGCCGAATCATTCCGAAATTGTTTACAAAGAGTTCGCTCGGTTCATGGAGAAGCACCCACGACCTGCCCTGCCTGTAGTGGGTTTTGCCTTCATCACGAACTCCCAATTTGGGCTGAATCGTACTTGCCCAGAGGCTCGTTATTCGGGACGCCTGAATTTAACAGTCCATCCGGATCATCGACACAAGCTGTATGGCTCGGCCCTGCTAGACCGCATTTTGATGACCATATCGCCATTTTACACCAGCGTCGTCGACCATGACTGGAAGCATGACAAGAACGAACCCAAGGGCATTTACGAATTTCCCGCAAGTCGCAATATCCGACAGTATGCCCACCTGCATGTCGAAGTGGTTGAGACACGCGGCAGGAATGAAAATGATGAAGCGAGAAGCCAATTTTTGAAGAAATTTGAATTTGAAGAAGTCGGTCGCCTCAAAGACGTATTGGTCACTAAGGATGACCAGCGGCACATGCATTGGCACGACCTAGTGACTTGGGCACGTACTATCACACCGACTTCAAGGATCATCGGTGGGCGGTGATAGTGCAGTTTGCGAGTTAGCCTTTTGATCTTCAGGCGTTGATGGTTTGAAGGTATATAATTCACCCGATTTTTTGATATTTTTGATGTTGGTGGTATCTTGTCAACGAATCCAACCTGGAACGAAAACTCTGACATGGAAGGAGGCATTCGTTCTTCGTGTATATCAAAGCTTTTCTTTTCAATGTGGAAAGACAAAAGGATATTCGATAGGAATATTCGCAAAGATAGGATGGCAGTGTGTTCGTCGCCGAAGCGATCCAGGATGAGAAACGGAAAAGACGTTTAAGTACATGTAATGATGAGATGCATGTCAATGGTGGTATTGAGTTGCGAAAATGACGTAATTGTCGCAATGAAATGAAACAAGAGAAGATAAACGCCCAATGCACAGCGTGTCGGAGGCAAAAAAGCCTACTTGGTGAGAGTGTATCAGCATAAATATCTCTCGCCAATACTTGGCAACCAGTCTATTCGAGCCAATGATGAGACGCAATTCAGAGACGCTCTCTCTCATCTGCTCAATCTGTCTGGCGAAGGTCTGAACAGTCCAACAGATTGCCATATTCAATGGTAGCAGAGCGCCTTATTTTGTCGCGATGCAAGCTTTGAGCGACTGCTGCGCTGCGCGCATGTCGTCGGTCGGAGAGAATAGGGGTCTTGGCGGTGAGGTGTCGTCGCTGTGAGCGAGAACCTATCACGTGTGGGCCAAGACTGTGTCGCACTTCATCCCTCGGGTCTGGACACGAGGCGAGGTCTTGCAGCTTAAGCACTCCATCGAAAACTACGCCAGAAATAGAGACGACTTCAGTCTTTCTTCGTAATCGTCCTACGGGGACTGTTATTCCCAGTAATTGCTTCCAGTACCGCACACTGATCGCCATGCTGTCCATTTTGCGGAAAGCCCGTCTCAAAGACAAGGAGATGAGAATCTTGATGCTGTGTGTTGTCCCCTATACAAAGCCCCGTGTGCCTAGTCTCTCAGAACAAATGAGACAACATAGCTGATATGAATTTCAAGAGGGCTCGACAATGCGGGAAAGACCACTATTGTCAAGAAAATCATGGGCGAGGATGTCCACACAGTTAGCCCAACCCTCGGATTCATCATCAAGACCATCGACTACGACGGGTGGGTTTGACTACCCATTTCTTTTCTCTGCAAGGGTCTTTGCTTACCATATCATCATCATATCAGATACAAATTGAATATTTGTGAGTTTCATCCCCGAAGGAAAAGTCGTCCCCACTGGGGTTTAGGGACAAGCAAATGACTGACAAGGGTAGGGGACGTGGGTGGCCAAAAGACTCTGCGATCATATTGGCGTAATTACTTTGAGAAGACGGATGCTTTGATATGGGTAGTCGATGCCACCGACCGCCTCAGAATTGAAGACTGCAGAGAAGAACTGCACGGACTACTCCTGGAAGAGGTGTGTTTGCAATAGATTGGTGAAATCCTTCTGCCTCTAATATTCTGTGCACGACGTGGTGTTGATCCGTTTTGAAGCGCCTTTCTGGGGCAAGCCTGCTCATATTCTCGAACAAAACTGATGTCGAGCAATGTATGGATGAACAAGAGATTCGAACGGTAAGACATCTGGCAGCTGTGGGTGGGTTGGCACTGCCCAGTGGAAACCATGGTGCTGATTCCCATCTTCCAGGCATTGCGGTTGGATGAAATTCGCTCGCATCAATGGCATATCCTGCGATGCAGTGCTATGACGGGAAAGAATCTACAGGAAGGTCTAGCTTGGGTTGTGGCGGATGCGAAAAAGAGACTATTTCTTTATTGATAGCATAGCCAGCTGACACGATCCGCGCGACTCATCTTCACGCACCTCATGACCAGGACGCGCCGCAAAACCAAGGCTTGGACGTCTACAAACGTTCGCACAAGATGGCCTGGCTGCGTACAACGAAGAGACTGTGCGTGGTCACTGATCGGTACACCATGCACTGGGGGTGTCTTCTGTCCAGGAACCCTCATCCTTGCAAATGATTGGTACAATCACATATGATCACCGCTGTGAATTCCCAGCAGGGTATCTTCAATGACGGTTGAGTTTCAATTTGACTGCCAATGACCATGACCGCTACAATGAGTAGATTGGCAAAGCCAAGTACTGCGTCAGGAGAAACAGGGCGCTGGCGAGGAAGTGGGCTGGATGCTCCGAGACAACCGTCAAGCTCGAGTTTTCGAAGTTGAAGGATGACGGCAAGTGCTTGAATAAATATAAGCCTGCAATTACGATCTAGGTGTCTCAATGACGATATGTCGATCCGTTCGATTTGGAAGGGAACAGAGAAGCAGCTTAGCTTGATTTGCGTCATCCGTAGATGTGACACGTTGGTAGTATGGACGGGATTGCCATGCAAGCCGTGATCGCAGGACTAGACTCTCGATCGTCCG